CCTGGCCTTTGTATGGGAGGTCCAGGGCAAAGCGCTGGACCTATTTCACGTTCCTTTAGTGTAGTTGAGATGTAAGAATATTGTTAGAAGTATTAGACTCGTGTGGAGAGCCAAGGATTATATTATAAGAAGAAACGAGGACCAAGGAACTACACGTTACGCTATAAATAGTATAATGTCCACTAACACCACCAGTTACTTTACAATCAGCTCATTCGATAACATTGCACCACACTAAACCAACGGCACTGACGTTCTTTTTCTTAAAAAGAAGTCTTTATACGAGTTAAAGAAAAGAGCGAAGAAAACAAGACGACAGCAGGAGTAGTCTCCTAACCCCCTAGCATAATGAGGGTCAGAACCGGGTGCGATACCCATAATGGTTCAAATGGTCCGCAGGGACCGGGGCTCTGCCAACCGCGGAAGGTTGTAGTAAGGTCACTGTTTCCGAACACAGTGTCCTCCACCTTGTTTCATGCTGTCAATCTAACAATTGCGTGAACTATAACAAGGTTGATCTAATACTGGTTTTTAACCAGTGTTAGGTTATATCATACCACTACTGCTAGTATAGGAGTACGAGTAGTAGTACCGAAAGTCGGAGTTAGGACTCCCATGGTGTCTTGTCCGGCGCTTGATCGATCGATGGCGTCCGTCTACTGTCTGTAGTACTGACGTCAAAGACAAGTGCAGTGTACAGGTCAGTCATGTCAACATGCTCAATGATTATACTACGTACTTATCATGCGGTGATCATGCAGTGAGTCTTAGTCAGGGAACCCTACGAAGACGTAAGTATCGACCAGGGAGTCGTAATCGACTCCCTGGTATCGACGAGTAAAAATGGTGTAGGGCTTCCCACTTAGATACACTACTACTACATGTACTAGTATGTTCCTAGCTTGAAATCCGATCAAGTGAGCCAAGTAACGCCTGTGAAGTGTGAATCCTGGCCTCTGAAATGGTGCAGGGGCAGCAGGGCGCAAAATTCTCCCGAGATCGGATTTCATTCAGCAGCGCTTATGTTAGTACACGTAATACTAATAGTATTAGTATTAGTATTACTACTTGTACTGTCTGTAGACTGTAGTGTAGGTATGACTCATATGAGCTAGTGACGTACAGACAGTACACTCTCTACACTGACTGTACTGACTACTGTACATGTATACAGACAGTACCCATGCCATGGTCTACAGCTAGCACGCGTAGATCTACGCACGACACGTCGACAGTCGTGTGCACGGGCAAGCGATATCGCGCGAGCCAAGGGCCAGGCGTAGATCTACATGTAATAGGCCGACTCGAGACGAGATAAAAAAATACATGTAGAAAAAGGCTGTGTCGTGTGCAAGCCGACCTCAGTCACCAGATCAGACACAACAAGGCCACCAACAACCACTCTGTAGCCCGTAGATCTACAGTAGTCAGTAGGTCTACAGGTCAGTCTTTGTGTAGTTTGTGCACGCTGCCCGTGATCAGGTGTATGCATGCTAGCTAGGGCTGACAGTGAGGAGAGATCTCGGCGCGTGCCAGTGCTTCTGATTTGTTGATGGCACAATTTTTTTTCTCTGGCAGACTCCTATCCTTTCGAGACTGACGTTAGAAAACATGGCTGGAATAGGCGAAGCATTTGATGGCGGCCAAGGACAAGGCTCCGATCACGTCCTCTCTCCCAGGTAAGAAATCGCGTTTCTGTCGTGCTTGCTGTCTCAGCCTGCCTGCTGGAAATGGACTATTTTTGCCCATTGTGCTCTGATTTGTGGCGTGTGTACACTTTGTTTATAGCGGTAACAATGGATCGAACATGCCCGTAGGAGCGGGTACCCATACTCCAGGGAGCCGTAAGAGGGAGAGAACGGTTAGTTCTGTGATTGTCTTTGGAAACTTCCGAGACGGCAATGCTGGTCCCGTGATTCTCCTGGAGCAGGCGGACTCTGACTGTCTGTGCATGTGCTTCAGTACCAGGCGCTACAAGCGCAAGCACGAGCCATCCACCATGTCCACTGGTAGCGCTAGTCTTGCACATGTAATGCTGCTGCTAGTGCCTGTTACTACTGGGTTAGCTCTAGCGTTACCATACAGTACGGCAAACTCGCTCACGTGTAGTGGAGGTGACCGTTCGTCACGTTTCAGCTTCAGCTCACGAGACAAGCTCCTTCTTGATCAAACGACTGCGACATTTGTGTCGACTGACACGATGACTACCCGATCTAGTTCGAGATCTTCCGTTTCTTGCCCAACAGAAAGCAAGCCTTTTTCGCTTTCGTCATTGTGCAGTGTAGTGCATGCTAGACCTAGACAGCGACCGCGCTGCATAAATGTACAAGACTACGAGTACTGGGTGGGGAATGACAGACTGCAGTGTGAAACAGTAAAACGATTGTATTGAGATAGTCCTTCCGTTGCAAACCAATGATGATCGGCAGCACATGTGTCGACTTGCCATTGATGATGAAAAGTTAGTTGTGAAAAAATTGATGGTACTTTTAGTGGAAGTGTTGTTGTTCTCATAGGTAGGCATGACTGTGCGCTTTTATAAAAGAAAGTGTACATGATTTATTCACATGCCGGTTTGAGGGAAAGACGCAAACGGGAAAGGTCTGAAGAAAGAAATGTCACCACCAGGACTCGAACCGGGTTATAGCCAGCTATGCTCTAACCACTGAGCTAAGGTGTAGTCGTCATCCCACAGTACATGATGTAAAAAATATGATGTAATTAGGCGAGACAAAAAAATAGGGATTCCCGGGCCCTCCCGCACCAAAATCGAGCCAAAGCCAATTTTTTATATTTTTTTGAACAGTTCATATAGTACATGTACAGTAGTCAGTACTGATCATGTGAGTAGATCTGTGACGTGGAGTCACACAAACCCGGGCTTGTACGACGACTCCCTGATGTACAGATCAGAGCCATCGTTGGCCGAAATACAGAAAAGTATAATTGAACGGGTAAACCGCGTACATGTTGTCTGTAAAAATATTGAATAAATATAACCGTAAAATTCTGCAAAAAACAGTTCAACATGGCATGCACACATATACATGTACATGTAAATACATAGGAAAACAAATGAAAAATAAATTTCGCCCGCAACAATTTCACATGGGTCCTGCCCGGGAATCTCGATTTTATTTTGGTCTCGCCTTATTTGAATATATTCGTTAGGTTGAGGGAAATTTGCAAACTGGAAAAGTCTGAAGGAAAAAATTGTCACTGCCAGGACTCGAACCAGGGACTCTCGCTTATGGCCAGCAATGCTCTACCACTCAGGGACTCTCGCTCATGGTCAGCAATGCTCTACCAACCAGGGACCCTCGCTTATGGCCAGCGATGCTCTACCACTAAGCTATGGTGTAGTCGTCATCCAAACAGCAACCGTTCAACGTTTTCTTTAGACTTCGAAACTGACACTTCCTCTGAGTGCGCACAGACTGATGTAGTAATTTAGTGCATACATGTACTACCAAGAGTACACAACCCCCAAGAGTGTGCAACTTCAGCTATGGGGTCTGCGACGGCAGATCTTCACATCACGTGACCAACTCGTACGCATTAGTTTTTTTCTTCTTCTTTTTTAAAACTTGGGCCAGTATGACTACTACAGTATTCACTTTGTCTTGAGGGGTTTAGTTAGACATGGGCAAGTTGCCATACAGGGGTGCCGGTGAGCCCGTCTTTCGGCACCGGGATGCATTACTTGCAACCTGTGCATGATAACCTGTGCATGATAACCTGTGCATGATAACCTGTGCATGATAGATGCAGGGTTGTGTGCAAGCCTAGCTGCTTTGGGTTCAGCTATCTTGTGACGGTGACGTTGCACTGTTTTCCAGCTGAACTTTTGAACTATGCAGGGGCGTCACACACGGTACGACCACTACGACCATGGTCGTACCACTTTTCGTCCAGGATGGTCCACCCAATTCATCCGAAAAAGCAATAAAAAAATTCAAGGATCTTCGGACTTGTACAAAACATCGCAACTGTTAGTAGTGTTACTTTCATTGCAAGGAGCATACAGACTTGATGCCTAGCACTAGCAGCTAGCTATTGCCCAAGACTCCAGGGCGGCTATCCATTACGATAGGTGGTTGGAGTCACGGTTAGAGACAACCAGACGATGGATTCCTCACGGACGCATTCACTGCAAACTTGACGGAAACAGAGCTGAGCTGGCGGCGATCACTGGGTCCAGAACTAAAATTTTCCAAGATCTGCCATGTTACAATGGCGATCAGTACGTCAAGAGACACTACATGTATGTCACTTGTCAGCTACAACATAATAATTATATTCTTTCCACAACGACACCTACCTAGTACCTCTGGCTCCTGACGATCTACTGCAAGCGGATTCGAAAATGCATTACACCCGCGAACGCAGCGCTTGTCAACGGAAAAGGGAAGCGCTTCATTCTCCGAAGCTGAAAAGTGTTTGGACTGCTGCTCCACGGCGGCAGAATATTCTGCAGCTGTTCACCGACACGACCCGCTTCACCTATATTATAACGATTTACGATCGTTTCGTTCCCCGAGTTTTCTGGTAGCAGCAACAAGAATTTCGTCCGCGACGACAGGACGAAAGTCTCTCGCAAACTAAAGTCCTGTTGCCACGAAGACAGAGAAGATTCCGCAAGCGCTTTCTTCTGCTTCCATTGTTGTAGCTCTCCGGTCCACTGGCAGATCTTTCAATCCCACCGAACAAAAACAAAGGACCTTCTTCTCTCTCTAAAAACAACTAAAATAATTACTTCGCGACTGTCCAGGCCGGACGTGTACATAGTGTGCGCGACGCGGCAGACTTTTGCAGGACACGACATACGTTTTTGCATAGCCGCTGGCGCTAGAACGCGCAGCACGCTTGTACTTCGGATTTTGCGATTTTTTCGAGGGCAATGGCCCTGAATCATTGAATGGGTTCCATTTACCTTGCTTGGCTACCTACGATGTACAGAAAATACCAAAAATCCATGAGAAGTATGTTTTTGGAGCTGGAGTGGGGTTGTCTAATAAGTGCTAGGGGAACCCTGCTTTGCGGCTGTAGAGTGCTAAAACGTGGCCTGTTAGCCGAAAAATCCTTATTTTTTTCTCCGGGGGACACCCCCGGACCCCCGGTCGTACCACTCCCAGCAACCCTCTGACGCCCCTGCTATGTCACGTGATGTAAAGTTCTGCCGTCGCAGCACTGTATAGAGGTTGGTCAGGCAGTTGCACGCTCTTGAGGGTTCTCACGGTGCCGACACTACCGTGACTGTATTGTAGGCGAACGGCCATCAAGACTCAGGGCAAGGTCAAGCTAGTCAGTCACTCAACTAAGCAACGTTAGGTTTGCTTCTGTTGTCAATCTTCATTATATTTATTATGGCCTGGCGAACAATAGCGCAAGTGGGGAAATGCTTGGTAGCCTCTTAGTATGCCGCTGCAGTGCGGCAGGAATAGTTGGTAAACTGTTGGCGATATGCATGTAAAAATAGAATGGCGCTAGCGTAGTATAGTTGGTGGTATGAGTGTACAGAACTAGTTGAACTTCTTCATAGAATAGTGTGTATCTTTTGCCATGCAATCTTCACTGCGTCTTTGGCAGTTTTGTTGTTTGCAATCCTCGTGACGTTATGCGCTTTTTTTGATCTGTCGCCCAGTCTTGTGCCAGGTGATACACTAGATACACACACATGCATGCACACACACACACACACACACACACACACACACACACACACACACACACACACACACACACACACACACACACATACACACATACATACACACACACCATGCACACACACACACTCACAGATACACACACACACACTCACAGATACACACACACACACACTCTCTCTCTCTTTTTCTCTCTCCACCTCACATTAGTAGAGGCAGATTGACCTTTGTTTTGTATCTGTAGGAGCTGCATCACCGTCGAGGATCAGGGACCTGGATACTATTCCAAAAAGAAACATAGTTTCATTCTTTTAGCTAGTACTCATCAGTTGTAAGGCTGCAACCACACTAGGTACAAAATCACGTACAAACGGCATTACAGTAGAAATCGTCATGCCGACGCGTGCGAAATTCAAAATGCGCTTTGTAGGTTTTCAGCAACTGGCGCACCCCTGTAGAAAGCCACGTTTGTCGTTTTCGTCGTTTTCGCGCTCCATCTCCTGTGTACAACTTTGTTTTTGCACCTGGTCGTCGTACATAGCATCAGCATCAGCTTTTTTTTTTTTTTTTAAATTTCCCAGTCTTTTCCAGCGCATGGCACACGCTTTGGTACGACAACGTCACGTGCTGGTCGCGTGAAAACGTCATCTATGCAGACCGAAAAGTGTAGTGTGGTTGCGCACCGACTTGTACTGAGATATGCATGAAAATTAGTACTGTGATTTTTACGTAGTGTGGTTGCGGCCTAAGAGATTATACAGTCATGTACAGGGAGGCATTCACCTTATTTGGGGAAATGTTTATAAAATGACTTGGGACGACCAGCAAAATGGACAATTGCAGCAGAAATGCATTACCAATGTTCTGTTCTTTCTGCACACTTCAGGATCAAGCTTCACACAAGATCATCGAGAAGAAACGACGCGATCGCATTAACAACTGCCTTGCTGAGCTTTCTAAACTCATTCCACAAGCATATCTCAAACAGGTAACACCTGAGTACCAAGCAGATAGCCTAGCTGTTTCTTCATACGTTTAGCACAGTTCAAAAAAAAATGCTCTCCAGTATCCATCAGGATTCTCGATGCCGTAACCACCCATCCTGCCATACCTGAAGATGAATCATTATTTCTGAAGTAGGTCCAGGGAGTGGAATTCTACTTTAAAAAATATCAATTCTCCTTTTTTCTTAAATCCCTCTGGCTTAGCTGACTGGGGTCTTGGACTGTCCATGCAAATATGCCCTTATATTTTTTTACAAGTCCCACTCCTGAAAACGTGACATGTTTTTCCTTGTGACAACTTGTGGGGACCTCGGTCTTTTACCCGGCCTATACTTCCCATGTAGACCTCGTCTCGGTCAACATCCTATTTTATCAATGCCGAAGTGGGCAGTATAAACAGTCGATATTATGGCTATAAGGGTGATATGGGATCAGTCAAGGATCACAAGAAATGGTGTAGGGCAATATAGAAGAGTGATAAGCAGTCACAATGACTGCAATGTATCCTAACTGTGGTTTGCCCTGTAACACTTTGATTCCACTGCTGGTAGGGTTCCACCAAGTTGGAGAAAGCCGAAATCCTGGAGATGACAGTGCGTCACTTGCATGATTTGAGTGGAGGTGAAGATGATGGTGAGATGACATTCTTGTGCTTATCATTACTCCTGTGTAAACTGTCTAGCTTTAAACAAAGGGGTGGATTGAATCTGGACTATGTACGTTTTGCCATATTTACTGTGAGCAGTCTCCAAGCGCAGGTTCTTGGGGCTTGGAGCACCTACTTTCTCTGTGTCTTCCTCTGTCTATTTCTCTCTCTCTGTCTCTCTCTCTCTGTCTCTCTCTGTCTCTCTCTCTCTCTCTCTCTCTCTCTCTCTCTCTCTCTCTCTCTCTCTCTCTCTCTCTCTCTCTCTCTCTCTCTCTCTCTCTCTCTCTCTCTCTCTCTCTCTCTCTCTCTCTCTCTCTCTCTCTCTCTCTCTCTCTCTCTCTCTCTCTCTCTCTCTCTCTCTCTCTCTCGTTGTTCAAATCTTTATTCTCATGATGACCAGTGGCCAATAAGAGATAAAAGTTGTTGTTGCTGTTACAGTGTCGTTTTAGTTACCCAGTGAGGATTGCTGTTTTAGCTGGATATCTGTAACTTGGCTAGCAGAATGTACGTGTACGGCCAAAACAACCAGACATGACTCCATAATCTGCAGTGGTTGGCTAACACCACTCCCTCCAAACTGGCCGGTGTTCCCACTGCGCCTTGAGATGTTATAAAAAATAAATAATAAAATGCTGAAGCTGGGAATAGAGTATGATCGGTCTTGAAGCCTGCCTGGTGTCTTACCGCCCCTTTGGAGCCAGAGTTGGCTCTGCGCCTTATATTTAGCTGGTCAACAGTAGCTGGGGAGATAGCCTAAATCTGTGATGTACACCGCGTGATCTTACTAGAGAACATCTTGAGCTATATCCAGACTTGGAAGAATGATTTGCAGTTTCGTATGCAGCATCAATTTAGCAGTATAATGCGGCTTTGGAGTCATCAAACTATTGTACAACCAAGACTTCACTGTGTCATTGTCTATGACGGTGTCAGGCACTGGCTGATGTGCCAGCAAGCTAGGCCGATAATTATGATCAACCACTCATTGACTAGGTTCCAAGTGCAACCCAATGCGGCCGGTGGTGGTCGTGAGGAAAGGAGCACTCTTTGCCAGAACCTTTGCTTCTTTTAGAGAGCGTTGTCTCGGTGGGCAGACATGCATTTACCGCCATTCTGCCTGGTGTGTGTGTGTGTGTGTGTGTGTGTGTGTGTGTGTGTGTGTGTGTGTGTGTGTGTGTGTGTCACCGCCATTATTCCACGATATCCAGACTAACTTATAAAGACCCGCAGTTTCAAAAGTCCTCAAACAGTACACTGTTTGCTGAACTGCATTGTACTAAATCTCAAAACAAAAGGCTGAAGTTTTGAAAAAGTGCTGTTTTCTCCGAAACATTACCCACTCTTAGAACCGGGCTGTAGTACTGAAAAGGGCTTTTAAAAGTGCAAGCAATGAGAGCAAAACAATGATCTGATTTGCTGCAACCTGATCTGAAAACCCCGATTGCGGCAAAGGCATCTTGCTGCACATGTTGTGAGGTGAAACAATGAATACTGCTACTGCCGGGTACTTTTAACCTCAACATTACAAGTTGACTATGCATGACGGAACCTGGATCTCCCCCCCCCCCCCCACCACCTCTCTCTCGCTCTCTCGCTCTCTCTCTCTCTCTCTCTCTCTCTCTCTCTCTCTCTCTCTCTCTCTCTCTCTCTCTCTCTTCTGTCCTTTATTGAACACGCCTGCCAGTAGCTATGAGGAATGCGGAACGTCTATTTCGTTTCCTTACAATGGGCTGTGTGTTTGCTTGTCCTTCAGAGACGTCACTCGCAGCGAAATCCGGTTACGGTTCTGGATATTCTGATTGTGTAGCGGATGTGCAGCGATTTCTGCAGGACGAGGGAAGTACTCTCGTCAAAGATGGCTCGGCTGAGAAGTTACTGTCGTGTCTTGCTGATAAGAATAAACAGCATGGCATCTCAACAACTCCTCGTCCATCTCAAGCTATCACTTCGCCAGTAGCAACCACTTCTGCTGTCACACTATCACCAACTTCGCAAGCAGCGCAAACTCGAGTACTGTCTTTCAAAACAAATGGCAGTGCCAATTCCGAGTTGAATCTGCCGACGAACCCATCAGGTGCTGATGGCATGACGACCCTGCTGGTAGCGTCTGGGCAGCAACAGCATCAGATTCAGAGGTCTGCTGTGACAAGCCCGAATGCAGCGCTACAGGCACAGTCCATCCCTGGGCTCTTATCTCTTTTGCAACCAAATCAGTCGCAGCAACAGCAGACACAGACGCAGCAGCAACAACAGCAACAGACACAGCAGCAGCCAACTCAACAACAGATGCAACAGAGACTTATACTTGCAGCTCAGACTCAGATGCAGCATTTGCAACAGCAGCAGCAGCAGCAGCAGCAGCAACAACATCAGCAGCAACAACAGCATCAGCAGGCTCAGTTTCTACAGATGACTGCAAACCAGCCTGTGGCTGTGAAGCAAGAGAATCAACAACACCCGACCCAGGTTCTCTTGCCCGCTGTGCAACCTGATGTACAGGCATCCTCAGTGCTAGCCAATTCACAAAGTCTGCCCAGTAACAGCCAACAGCAGTCTTCTGAGGCATCAGTGTAAGTATATTATTTTGCGGAGAGGTGTGGTATTGTTCATACCGTATTTCTCCGAATATAAGTCACGCCTTTTTACACTAAGCTTCAAGGGAAGGGGATGCGACTTACGGTCGAGTGTGACAACCTACTTCCTCCGCATCATTAAAATTGTCGCTTCGCACATCGCAATGTTTGTGACTTGGTTCGGCTTAGTCAGACTGTCGGAATCGCTGTTTTCTGTGTTCGAACATTGGTGCGACCCTTCCTGCGCAATGTCTACTTGTTACTGAAGCCGTGGTGGTCTTGGACTTTGTTGGACCTCTCTTCCGCACCAAGCAAATTCATCGCGCTCCGCACTATTCCGCCCCAGAGCGCATATCGTTTTTCTGGAGTTTGTGCCGTCCCACATTGTTCGCGTGGGCATTTATCAAGACTGCAAGCTCGGGTATAAGAATCCTGGTATCTCTCCGGAATACGAAATGCTGAAGTTGACAATGGCAAGAACAAAGTGTTCTCATATTCCTAAAGTGCGCTACTTGTGGCGCATGTTGCTGCGAAGATAGCAGGTCTGAAAACACCAACAAAATCAGCGAAGCGCTTGACAAGGAAAGAAGGTGCGGAACTGCTTACAATATCCTGCTGAAAGGTCGTTACGGTGTACTTGAAAAATGCTAGCTTGCCTTCATCGCCTGCCACCTGGAGGCATGGATCGCGAAGTTTCTTTACCTGAATTTGAACGCGCGTCTTGTTCGCGTACTGTTGAGTGCTGAAGGGTCTGCCTCAAACTCTGATGAAGACGTCGACCTTGGCTGCAAGTGCAGCGAAGCGGGAGGCCACAAACTAAAGCTTGGTCCGTCGACAATGCTCTGCCTCAATTTCTAGCTGATGTATTTGCCCTTTGAGTGGACAAAGTAAATTCGAAAATCGCTCTGGGAAGCGACAATTTTAATGATGCGGAGGAAGTACTTATGTGAATATATTGAAACAGTATGGCTGAAACGGTGAAACCTGAAAAATGAGAAGGGGGGGGGGGGGTGCGACTTTTTAACTCGTAATCGAGTGCGACTAATAATCGGTGAAATACGGTAGTTGGAATTGAATTCATGTTGACGGCGCTCTTGCTGTGTGCACAATCCGCATGTGCATGTACCCCCTACACACGTCATGTACCTACACACGTCATGTACCTACACACGTCATGCCGACCAGCCAGGTCCAGCATGTACCTTCACACGTCATGCCGACCAGCCAGGTCCAGCATGTACCTACACACGTACACACGTCATGCCACCGACCAGCCAGGTCCAGCAGGTCGGGAGAACTGAGATGTTGCAGTTGAGCCTCAACTGACCAGTCAGCAACGGTTACTGATCTATACTTGTAGGTTAGTGCATGGCAAGAAGGGTTGTACGGCTTGCTAGCGGGACCCGGAATGATAGCCTGACGCATAGCAAACCATCGGGCCCAGACTGCCACGCACTAACTATTTGCGAATCGGAGGTCATCATTCCCCTTGCATAGAGGCTGACCGAGCACGTTTTGTTTCTTCACACAGGCAGTGTTTGCATAATACAGTACATACACTACATACACTACATACACTACATACACTACATGCGCCATTGTGATGATTATGGTTGAGCAGCTGGGGTGGAGCTGTGTCCCACGTATGTCCAATACCAGTGTACACATTCCATAACGGTGTTCATGTATGCAAACCTGGACAGCAAAGCTGATTTGAGCTGATTTGAGTAGGTTGCTTATGGCATTTTGGGAAAAGAGGCCTTAGACTTAGTAGGGTTTCGTGCAAAAGGACGTTGACACCCGCGGGTACTATGCAGCTGGTGGCATTGTCAAACGTTTGGCACTTTGCCAAAATGCTGCTTCTTGGCATTTTGGGGAAGGCAAGTGTTTGTATGTGTATCCGTGAAAGGCTAGGCTGTGTATTTCCAAGTTGTTTGAAGATCTCTCTGTCGCAAAATAGGCACATTCTGAACTGAGTTTCATGATTGTGTCTGCTGTGTGTCTGTAGATCACGTAGTGTGGATATTACTGGTGTTGTCAGCACGAACAGCGGTGGCACTAACAACAGTGGCGCCTACTCAGTGCTAAGCCACGTGAACGGCGGACTGATGCCTGCTCCGGCTGGCTCTTTGCCAGTACAGTATACTCTGATGCCTATTAATAGTATTAATATTGGTAAGTGCTCCACTCACCTCACCTCACCTCGCTTACACATACTAGTACTGCAAGTCTACAAATTTTCGGCACATTCAAATTCCGGCCTCCCAGGGCTAAAACACATTTCGGCCGCATCGAATTGTCGGCCTGAACTGCTGCCACCGGTATACACTGTCACACTGAACCTTGCTAAACCAAATTTCGGCCAAACATGACCAGGCCGAAAATAGCCGTAAATAAATAAGCGCCGAATATTTGTTGACTTTAATTAACAGAACTTTGAAGTCCTTTTAATTCAAACTCCGCAAAACCGGAAGACTTCCACACCTTGTACTTGAAGACTAGACTAGTACTAGATGCACGCACAGAAGTTTTGTACTGCATCCCCGTATAATATAACACATTCAGGTCAATCGGACCGTGATCCACACTTTGTGTTGCAGTTTAGTGCAACCTATTACAGAATTAGGTCGATTCATGTACGTACCAATGTCAAAGGGCTTAGAGTATTAGGGTTGCTTTGCATAGCAAACTGTGATGTGATAAATTGATATTGGATACGTTTGTCCCTTTAGAATGTAAGCTAGTGTCTCTTTCTGTCTCTGTCTCTCTCCCTCTCCCCCCCCCCCCCTCCCCCATCTCTCTCATTTTCTTTCCACCCATCGAATTGTCTCTCTATGAATTATACCAAGATTATAATCCCCAAGAGCGTGCAACTCCAGTTATGGGGTCTACGACAGCAGAACTTCACATCACGTACCGAACCCGTACACATTATTTGCACGCTGTGCATGATAGATGCAGGGTTGTACGCAACCCTGCTTTGGGTTCAACTCTCTTGTGGTCACTTTGCACTGTTTTCCAGCGTAACCTGTTGAACTATGTCACGTGATGTGAAGTTCTGCCGTCGCAGCACTGTATAGAGGTTGTGCAGGCAGTTGCACACTCTTGGGAGCCATGTACTCTTGGTTATACCTATCTCTTGTTATATCATTGGTGGTGGGTCTGATCTTCTCACCTCCCACCACTTACGAGCTTCATGTGCGCCTTGATCCTAGAGGGTGCGTGCGTGTGCGTGGTATAGTCATGCCTCACATTCAGACCGTTTGTAGAGACCGGTGTGTCGTATCCATTACGGCCACATTGTGTTTCGCAGTTGCGGGTTGCTCTTACTAGTCTTAGATACCCGCTGCACCCTTTGGTCACGATCGCCTGGTTAAGAGAGGCTCTGCTGTACCTTAGGCTTACTGCAGTTTTGCAGGTGTGTATGCTGTACGTGTATGCTGTACGTGTATGCTGTACGTGTATGCTGTACGTGTATGCTGTACGTGTATGCTGTACGTGTATGCTGTACGTGTATGCTGTACGTGTACGTGTATTGTGAATTCATGCAAGCATTTGCTGTTTTTAATAATTGCTAGCACTTTAAAAAAAATCTTTTCTACGGGTGCAGCATTCTCCTTGCTGTATTCTTCGGAAAATCGAGTCACTGATTTCAATGATTTGTGACTGGCTTGCTTGGTTTGCTTGGTTTTGCTTCTTGCACATGTATAGGATACTATCCCCACCTAGTAGAGAACACACCCGGGACATATACACTGTTGTCTAACCCAGTCTCAGTAGCCGGTGACACAAATGATTTGTCAGATCATGCTGTGAGACCAGATGCAGCCTAATGTTGAGCTGGCCACACAGCCGGGCGGCGAAATCCAGGATCCGTATGAGCATGCTCGAACATCTCCATGCTCATACATGTGTCCTGGTGTCTGTCTGACTGTGTGTGTGTGGCCAGGCGGCAAGCAGGGTGACAACTCCAGTCTGTCCACTACGGTGCAGCTGGCAGCGGCAGGTGGCGCTAACGTCACGTTCCCAATGGCACTGACACCGCCTAATGTAAGTATTCCCAGCAGCGATGTTCCGGCGTCAATATCAGGTCTAGTACTTCCCATACAGCAACAGCGGCAACAGCAGCAGCAGAAGCAATAGTAGCAACAGTAGCATTAGAAACAACGGTAATACGATGTGATCCAGAATTGATCAACCTCTGGAGAAAGTGTGTACAATGTACAATGTACAATGGATAATACTGCTTTAGTGGTGGTGAGAATATTGAGCGTGTGAACATATCCCAATACTGCGTGTACCGGCGGGTACTGGCAGGCCATCTTACAACTTATCCTAATGAGCAAGCAACAACAAAAGGACCAAAAATACCAGGTGCAGCAGCTGCTGCATGGTAGGTGCGTGTACGTACAGCTGCGTTTCCCAGCGTTATCCCTTACTCGAATGATCAGAAGACAATTGAATGTGTTCACTCGGCTGACTGCTCGCGATCTCGATCTTCAACGGCCCTAGTCATCTGTGCATCATCCTGTAAGGAGGCAGCAGGGGGGGGTTTACACAAGAAACCCTTAGCCCAGCCTTAGCCCAGCCTTCAGCTGTCCTATGCTAGTACAAGTGATTACTAGTTCAGTACTCTACCCCAGTCGACGATGTAAGGCACTCAACGAGGCTGCCGTTCCTGTCATCTATATCTCCATGACGACCGAGTGTTAGCTAGCCAAGAACATCCATCAGCATGGCAAGACTCTCAGGGAAATGGGCAATGAACAATGGGCGTGCTGGTCGGGTATATGATCGTCTTGTCCACATAAGTGGGTATGCCCAACGTATGTATATATAATTGGTGGAACCATTCTTTGTGATCGTCTTGTCCTGTATATTCCCCAAAGAAGAGAACTAGTGTCTGTGCTCAGGGGCCCGTTGGCCAGTTTACCATGATTTCCGTCCCGCTCGCGATGCCGCAGTCCTGTCATACCGGTGTAGATATTTGGTTGACAGTCAAGCTGCTACCCAGTATTGCTAGCATGTACTCGCTCGCACCTTTCAGCACTCACTGTACTAAATATGGCAGCATGCTGGCCACTGCCTACATCATAGCTGTGTGCATTGCACGTGTGTTCACTTAAGTCTTTGCCCCTACCCGGGAATACGCACATACCCATAACTATAAGGGTTTCTGTGGTCTTGTGCCTATGCTGTCCGCATGTAGTTTTTTTTAAGCATCCTGCTGGTCAGGTGGTTTTGTTTTGTTTGCCCCTTCATGTCTTGTTTTTGCTGCAAAGCACATCAGCTAGGTGAGAGTCACCTCCTCAAATCATCCACGTACCCACTGAACAGTTCCTTATAACAACCCTCCACTCTCTCTCTAAACCTGAACATGTTTCTCCCTCAACATGTGCACTCACTTGTACATACACCAGCAAACACGTATAAATCACTAATCTACAGAACACCTACCTTTTAGCTAGGCCACAGTCTTGTCGCGTATACCGGATCTTCTACAAGTCCTAGTCCTAGTGTCTATAGCGAATGTTTTTGCCTTTAAGAGACCAGCTGTGTTTTCTTCTGTTGCATCGCAAAGTTGCCATTTCTTCCTGCTGAGTGAACATGGTCGCGCATGTGCGCGTGTGTGTGTGTGTGTGTGTGTGTGTGTGTGTGCGTGTGTGTGTGTACTCTGTGTGGTGTAGACCAGGTGTGCATTGGTGGTCGATTCACATGGCTTCGCAGGTTGTGTGGATTGGACAGTTATCTGGCGCTAGTCTTGATCTGTCTCATTCAGATCTTGCCCGTAATCGTTGCTATAAGAGAAAATCCGTGGGTGCACATCCAGTGCATTTGCAGATTTGCGTGCTTCTCTTGCGACGGGCGTATACATGGTACATGGACCACCATTGCATTATGGTACATGGTGTGTGTAAGTGTAAGTCCTCATTGACTTACTGCGGTGTGGGGAACCAATAAGTGGAGTCATAATCTATTTTTTCAACCGTCCACCCGTAGGTTGGGTTGTCCACCATGGCCTGTTCAATGCTGACTATAAAGTCGAGTCATCCTTCCAAGATTCCCCAGGGGGGGGGGGGGGCATGTGTGTGCAGTGTGTCCCCATAATGATACAGTCGATTTCCATTCATCAGGAAACCAACGACATGGGTTGCACATGACTTTCTTCTCTTCATCATTTTCCTGACTTTTTCATTCTGCTGGTGGTCAGCTAGTAATGCATGCAGCATGCACCTGCGAACACTGAAGATCCGGATGTGAACTGGTGCAGTACAGTACAGGGCGCAAACTGATTTACTCGATCGGATTTGTAGTTGGCCTCGGCTTGTACTACAGTGCTGGCAACTGAAATCCGACCCCCTTGGCGGCGCGCCGCCCCACCAAGGGGGTCGGATTTCAGTTGCCAGCACTGTGTTTATTTCAGGGAGTAGTACAATACTACTCCCCGGTTTATTTTAATCAGGGAGTCGTATCCCAGATTTTAATAATCATTGTACAATCATCGGAACATTTACAATGACAGACTGAGTCAGTACTGCACTGAGTCTGTAATGATTTTGGGAATCTTGTGTTCATGTTCATTCTACAACAAGTCTGATTTTACTTCAATTTTTAGTTAAAATTATTATAGTCAGTAGTTCATTAGCCGTCTCGGTCCGGAATGATGCTCGCTACTCGCTCCTGTGGCCAGTTCAGAGCTGTCGCTTCACAATGCTTCCCCCGAAGCTTGTCCGTATCGGCCGGCAAGATGGGAAGACCCGAGCCAGCATCGTCAGCGAACATGTTGGATATCGGAACCCGACGTATTTTCAATGAAGAACATGATATGCTCAGGGAGGCGTGCAGGAGGTGTGTGCAAGCCATGATTTAGTCGGTCAGCATCCTTGAATATTGGAAAGGCTTCCTGTCTGAAGCCTTTCCATACTGGTACTCGATGTTCCAGTTTTGTGACACGAGAATGGCACGAGAATTAGTGTACCGCTGAGTGTACCGCTATACACGTGGTCGACACGTAGTCGACACGTTGTTGATACTTTTTTGACACGTGACCCCGTCAACGGTCTGCTTTGTGCCAATGCCACTCGGTAAACGCCGATGTCGCGTACGACAAAGACGACTATCCCGTACGCGAAATAGTTGAGAATTGCATGACGTGGACCTGACGGCAAGGACAACTGCGAGGAGGCCCCTTTCGGTACCCCTGACGGGAAGGAGAACTGCAGAAGTCGACGAAGTCGAACGAGGAGGCCCCTTTCCCGTACCCCATACTGCAAAGTGCCATTGATGGATACCTTTTGCACCTGGAACGACCCCTTAAACGCTGTCGCGGCGACTATCCCGTACGCGAAATAGTTGAGAACTGCTGACGCGGACCTTTTGCACCTGGAACGGCCCCGTAAACGCTGTCGTGTCGGCGGAGTGAATGTGCAGGGTACTAGGGGGAAAAGAATTGCTGCAAAGACGTCCCCTCTACTAGGCTCTAGGCCTTTGCCTTTGGAGACATGGCGAACTGAATGCGCAGGGCGAAAAGAATTGCTGCAAAGACGTCCGCTCTAGGCCTTTGGAGACATCGTGGGAACTCCTTCCGGTACTATACAAACTGCTGACGTGGCCGTGGACATGTACATGGAGAGTCATGGTGGGACTTCATGTACATGGATACATGGTGGGAATTCCTTCCGGCACCCCCGTACCGCAAAGCCAACGGTGGGGAAGGAGAAGTGCAGACGTGCAGGAAGACGAACGAGGAGGAACCAGGACGAGCGAGCAATGGCAGGACTAGCTGGACCGTAAGTAATAGCTGAATTGTGCATGACAACTTGACATCCATGCGGCACTCGCCACTTGCCACTGCATATTTCTTGTCCACTAACAATGTCTCTCCTCTGCCCCCTGTGTGTCCACGGCCCTGTTGCTGAATTGGCCCGATGAATCGAATGTCTTCCGCAACTGGAACGGCCCCGTGAAAGCTGTCGCGTCGGCGACTGAATGCGCAGGAGGGAAAATATTGCTGCGAAGACGTCTCCTCTAGACGACGGTAAGGCACCCCATTGATATGTTGCCAGTGTGTGCCAGGGTATCGCGCGATGGTGAATGAGGAATGATGAAGGGTACGGTGGGACTGTAGACCTGTTACCTTCTACTAACACGTTATCAGGTGGAGAGTGTCTTGTACTCACGTTATCAGGTCGAGAGCGTATTGTAGTCACTCTCTCTATTCCTGTACTTCATTACGTTTAAGGTGTACGTATAACTTCTCAAAAAAAGTTAATGGTCTACAGTCGTGTCGGAAGGGTACGGTGGGACTGTAGACATGTTACCTTCTAACACGTTATCAGGTGGAGAGTGTCTTGTACTCACGTTATCACTATATCAGGTCGAGAGCGTATTGTAGTCACTCTCTCTATTCCTGTACTTCATTACGTTTCAGGTGTACGTATAACTTTTCCAAAAAATTTAATGGTTCACGTCTTCAGATAGAGAGCGTATTGCACCCACTGTCTAGTCTCTGTAGTGCATTGAGATTTTGTTGATCGAACATGAAATGGATACACAGACGAAGCCAGGCCAAGTACATGGCGAGATGTCGCCAGAAGAACGTCTTCAGGTAGAGAGCGTATTGCACCCACTGTCTAGTCGATTTTGTGGATCGCACATGAAATGGATACACAGACAAAGCAGGCCAAGTACATGAGAGAGTGGACGATGTGCAGATCGAAACGGCCTGCGGGTACTTCATTAAAGTTACCCGTGACATAACTAGGATAAAAGTTAATCACTGCAAAAACATTGCCAAGTATGTGAGCACTTTGGACTTGACAGAAGAGTGCACGGGCGACGTTGACAAAACATACTGCGGTGACTGTCACTATCATGACAGCAGGGCACATCGCACGCAGCATCGCAGATCGTGTCGAATTGCGCATCATAATATTGCAAAATTGCTCCTGTGCATGCAAGTGGATTTCATTGCACTTCTCAGTTTGGGAAATGCTCGATTATGACAATTCTCCGTGTGAGTGCACTAGCCCTGAACAGACATGTAGGTGAACCGTTTGTGGTGTCTCATAGCCTACCTCACGACCTTCTGCTTTCTTTCTTCATCACTTGTATCTTGCAGGTATATCATCCCGTGACGACCACATTGAAGTCTGAATTTGAAGTGTGAAGATGCTTCAGCAACCACATCGTACTTTTCCATTGCTTTCATTGTGCTTCTACTGTGCATGTGTGTAAGTTGTGGGGTAAACATGTGATGACATTGTATGCTGGCGACATGGTCAGATGTTCATGCGTCTAACGTACACCTGCATGTTATGCATTGAAAAGGGCTTGCCACTTGCGATCCTGGGACGAGTATCAGGTCCGCTTTGTCCTGTGTGGGCTGTATCAGATTGTTGTTCACTTCTCTATCTGTTGGATATGTGACTTTCTGCAAGTTTCTGGTGTATGATGGCCACGTCCTTGCTTGTCACTTTGTATGATATTACATTCTGTATTCGCTGCTTCCATGGCATGGTCTGCAAACTGCAATCCTTGGGCAAATGTCATGTTTGCTATGTTGTGCTTTGGCCGTCAGCTTGTCTACACGCTGTAGTTGAATTATTTTTGTTTCACAACTGACTTCCTCAAGTACGGTGGCCACTGCTTTGCATGGCATTATACATGAAGAATTTCCTGTTTGTGTCGTGTGCATGTGCGTATGTGTGCGTGGTCACGTGTGTGTGCCGTGTGCATACACATGTTTGTGTATCTGTGTGCGGGGTAGCGAGGCGGGGAGGGCTGGTATGTATCAGTGTGTTATTGCAATCGCATGGCTACATACAGTACATCGCGCGCGTGGTCATCATGTTTACCTTCGGGGTTGGGGTGGGGAGGGAACGGAAAAAGAGCTGAAATTATCCATATAAAAATCGCTCTGTGAGCGGTTCTGAAAAACCTTTACTGGTACTGCCCCGTCGTAAAAGTAAGAAATTAGAACTGGCCCATTGTCCCCCCAAATGCGAACTGATCCACCTAAATCGCGAATGACGGGACCCGAACGCACCAGTAGCACGAGGTTCCTACCTGTGGATGCAGATGGGGACGTTGGTCCGGACCATAGGCCATGTACTGTACTAGCGGTAGGCTTCCCTATCAAAATAATAAATTCTACTGCTACTACTGGTGTTACCCTATGATAATTGCCGTGATCCTGTGCCCTCCCGACCTCGTGCTACTGGTGCGTTCGGGTCCCGTCATTCGCGATTTAGGTGGATCAGTTCGCATTTGGGGGGACAATGGGCCAGTTCTAATTTCTTACTTTTACGACGGGGCAGTACCAGTAAAGGTTTTTCAGAACCGCTCACAGAGCGATTTTTATATGGATAATACTACATGTACATGACTGTGTTATTTTTACTGTTCCGACATAAATCAAGTGCATAGGCAGCGCACGGTCAGCCCCTGTTCTTCGACCCTCCACGTCCTGCATCATGCATGGTATCACCATTAGTAGGCACTTCAGTCACGTGACATGACCTGTCAAAAAGTGCTAACGCTGAATCGCGTACATGCGCGGCACCAAGGAAAGGCGCATGCGCATAGATCGATCTGTAGCTGCACGGAAGCTGCGCAGGGCCTTCTCGTGTGGCGCAGCATGTAGCTGAGGCCCTCAGCTAGCTTTCGTTTGAGCCCACATACGTCATGATGCGGCAATTTTTTGAACTCACGTACAGTTCGAGTAAAATCGGCAAGGATTTTTCGGGCATTTCACTTGGTTGCACGCATTTGCCATGTAGCTCATCGTCTTCAGCGTCGTTTTTCCTTTCGGAATCAGTTGTCCTCGTTCGTCCAACACTTTGCGCATTGCTGCGCAAGGAGAAATAATGCGAGGTGTTATTGGAAGCGAACCGCGACAGGCGTCCTCCCGGCAATAGTCCTTGTTCGTCGGAGCCCATGCGCATGGCTGCGCAAGAAGAAATATGCCAGGTGTTATTGGAGTCGCATCGGAGCAGTCGTCCTCTCCTGCAGACGACGAGTAGGACAGTATATACTTCGGCGACTGGACCAAGAGAGCTGACATCAAAACGGCCTGCTCGGAACAAATCGTCAGCTGATCAGCAGGTGGCTTCCAGCGACCAAGAAAAGCATTGACGGTGATATTATACCAAGAATCCAGCACACACTCTATGCACAAAATCTCACATGCTGGAGTTGCTGAAGTTTCAGTAGTCCCAAAAATTTACAGACGATGTTCTATTGTAATAGTTTGTCATTTCTTTCCGTCAAATACCCGGTAAATTCTAGTTTGCTCAGTCTTCGGCTCATTGTTCTTCCGTACTCGTCACCACGTCAGTACTGTACATATAGCAACAATGTGTTCTGGCACTGAATTATTGTAGTTACTTTATCTTACCTCAAAGTCTCATCTTATGCTTTTCCGAAGGCTTCTCTGCACTGTTTTCATGCTGTTGCGATGGAGTTGCTATGCTGTTGCTATGGAGTTGCCATGGTGACCACATCCGATATCTTCGTCGGAGCTGCCGGACGGAAGAAAAATCCGAAGTATTTCCAAACCATGCTGTTTCTGCATTCATCTGATTATTTTGACCTGCTTCCAGCGAGCCTGGTATTTTGCCACTATAGACACTGAAGCAAGTTCTGCCAATTTCTGATATGCTGCTGGTGCCGTCGATATACTGAAAATGCCGTTATTCAATTCTCCGACTTTGGGTGGCTATATCTCTGTGCCAAGTTATTCTTTTTGCTTCAAATTTTCTGTGGAGTCTTCCTAAACCTATCTGAATCGGATACAAAAAAGAAATACGCGTATTTCTCGTTTTGAAAAAATCGCCTGAAGTGCCTACCATTAGTACCGTACTGTATTGATATCCTGCATACCGGTAGCAGCCTGGTGGCTATGACGCACGATGGATTTCCGCAGACTCATTCACAGCCTGACATTTTTATGCCACGCTTCTGTAGTCTGTGAAATAGGCACAACCAGTAACTGTTATATGCGGGATTATTCGCCGAATATGCGGTATAATACTAGAGAGGTTGTGCACAACTTTACGTAAGTGTGACTTGTGAGTGTGGCTGTAAAGTACCGTGAAACGTAAACACACACACAGTGCTGAGCCACGTGACTAGTGCTATAGTGAATATAAGATTGTGCTACCGTCAAATACCACCACCACCCCCTCCTCCTCCCCCCCCCCCCCCCCTCCCCCCTCCCTCTCACAACACTATGTCGCTTCCCAACAAGTATCAGTTGTTACAGCAAGCGGGCAGGGGCTGGATTGCACTTGATCCAGATGATCAAGTGCTGTACGATACACAGCAAGACGGAAGGTCAGGCTTGCCACGCTGAATTGGATTGTGCCCAATTCCATGATCCCTGCAGCAGGTAGCACCTATACTGGCATAGGCAGTACAGGACAGTAACAAGAGCACAGTCATACATTTGCTCAACACCTCATCTTAGTATTTGCAGAACTTCCGACCACATCAAAACAGAACGACTTGCTGCGTTGGACTATGTGTGTGTGTGTGTGTGTGTGTGTGTGTGTGTGTGTGTACGTGTTTGTGTTTGTGTGTCTATGTCTCTCTTTCTGTGTGTCTGTGTGTGTGTTTCTCTAGATTCGTGGAGACAGAAGTCACCCCTTACCACAAACAGTACGCAGTATGACAGTTGCAAGATAGCAGAATACATAACTGTGTAATCTTGTTCTAAGATAACTGTCTTCTTGAAGAAATGTTCATTTTGTAAACAGTATGGTACTATGGGTGATGCTGTGCCTCAGCTGCTGGATTGGTTTTCTCAGTTTGGCAACAAATATTCACCAATACAATTCTCCTCTAAGTCACACCTCAGCAGCCTGGCCTTTACCTACCGCCGGCTGAATTGTTTTTCCAGGTTTGTACATGCATTGTGCAGATAGCAATTGTTAGAAGGGTCATTGGACATCCCAAAGAGTGCTTTCGCCGGCATCTGTCACATGACCATACGGGCCGGGCCATCCATGTTGGTTCCAACTCCTCTCGATCCAGAACATGTCGTAGGTTGGGTTGCTCGGCGTTTGAACTACACTGTAGTACTGTTGCTCAGACGCTGCTAGTGAAACTTGTCTGACTCGCACCAGTGTCCAGAATACTTCAGAAGCCTTACAACACTGTACACGGCACCTAGAAAATAGAAACACGTCCAAGATGTTTTCAACGTGAATCACTTCAAAACCACCTGTAGGATGGGCTGACAGGCCTATACTACTTAGATGCTTTCATGAATCATGACTATGTACTAAGCAGTCAATGTCGTTGGCACCACCAGCCACTACGCCTGGTGAACATCCAGTTACGTAGTGACCACCTGGATACTTTTCTGCACCTCACCTATCACGGTTGCTAATTATTAATTGATCGCACATGACATATGGTCGTGGGTATGTTGGCTGGCTGGATATCTATGTAATATGTGTGTGTGTGTGTGCGTGCGTGTGTTTGTGCGCGCGCATGTGTGTGTGTGTGTGTGTGTGTGTGTGTGTGTGTGTTTGCGTGTCTTGTTGGACAGGTGGGAGCAAGATGGAGTTGTGAGCAGAGAGGTAAGCAAGGCTTGGCTCTGACTGCAGCAATGTGTGTTATTTGTGATAGTGATGATGCATGGTGGCGTGGGGCAGGGGTTATAGTGCGCAGGGCCAGATTACAGCAGTATCGTTTATTAACATCCACAAGCTTTTGTCACTCCTCGGTCAAGCACATCCTGTCGCAAATAGTCCTGGAAAGCTGAGCGGAATGCCTATCCAACAACTTGTTTATTTCCTCATTGCAATCCGTTGCCATTTCACAAAGTTCTGGCAGTGTTGGTTTTCTTGTTCAAAGTGCGCAAACATGATCAAAACCAGCAGCACAATATCTCTTTTGTCTAGAAATTCAAACTTGTTCAATGACAAATACCTGACAACTTTGAATGACGTGGAGCAAACCTAAAACTCTGTAGGTGCAGTTCATTCTCCATAATGAAAGCTCCACTGAGCTGGCCAGTGTGCACAGTAAGAAATGACAAGGGGATTGAAAGTTATTTGAAATCCATGTCTCCGAAAGTGCACTGCTAAGAGTATATGGGTCACCAGTTTACAGCCCTAATTAAATTCTACAGCCTGCGGGTCATCCCTTCCACTACCCATTTCAGCCTTCAACGATATTCTGTACTACATGTGATGCTGTGCTTCTGTTGTAGGTCTGGGAGAAGGCAGGTAGCAATGGATTCCTCAATGTATATATTCCAGAGGAACATGGCGGAGTGGGAGCAGACTACAAGTCCGCAGTTATTATCGCTGAGGAACTGTAAGTCTCAGCGCATGTCATTAGCTTTTCCTACAGCTTTTGACGATGTGCTTAGAAGAAGGTGTTTCCTTTTTAATTCCTTTGAGCGAGGTAGCACCTTACTACCCTTAGACGATGGTGCCGGTCCTGAGACACTGCCACCACCATGGACAGAATTGACTATGGGTCAGTGTCGTGCTATGTTATCGCATGAGCTGATTGCTTAGTAACTGGTGGAGTTAGTGGACATTATAGCGTAACTGGTAGTTCCTTGATCCTTCTCAAGTTTTTCCATAAAGGCTACCTTTATAAGTTTACATTCTGCACGTGGCACCCTAGTCACTGACTTTGTGTGTAGCCCTGAGAGACTGTGTGTGGAACTTGAACACACAGCCAATGCTGCACACACAGCCAATGCTGCACAATGCCGTTTGCAGAGTACAAACCAACATGCTTTCATATTCACTATTTTGTGAGTGTGTGTGTGTGGGGGGGGGGGGGGTGCATGAGTGTGTTTGTGAGTGTGTGTGTGTGTGTGTGTGGTGCATGAGTGTATTTGTGAGTGTGTGTGTGTGTGGGGGGGGGGTGCATGAGTGTGTTTGTGAGTGTGTGTGTGTGTGGGGGGGGGGGGGTGAAAGAAAGAAAGAAAAAAAGAAAGAGAGAGAGAGAGAGAGAGAGAGAGAGGGGGGTGGGGAGAGAGAGAGAGAGAGAGAGAGTGTGTGTGTGTGTGTGTGTGTGTGTGTGTGTGTGTGTGTGTGTGTGTGTGTGTGTGTGTGTGTGTGTGTGTGTGTGTGTGTGTGTGTGGGCGTGCGACTACACTGATGCATTTCATAAGCATTCAGTATTTCATTGTGCACTTCTGTTCAACTTCATTGCCGGATAATTTGCAGAGCCTACGCTGGTGCAACTGGTGTGATGTTCGCATTGCATTCTGATGTAAACATGCCATACTTCTCAAAATATGGTTCGGATGAGCAAAGGAAGCGCTTCATCCCAGCAATGACCGCTGGTACATGTATCACTGCCATTGGCATGTCAGAGCCTTGCGCTGGGAGGTAAGCAAACTACACATCACTAGTTTGAAGTCGTCCCAGAAATATCCCCCCCCCCCCACACACACACGTAAACCCATTCACACGCATGCGCGTAGCCTGCATGCGACACGGGGGGGGGGGGGGGGGGGGGCATGTGCACCCCCCCCCCCCCTAAAAACTTCGCCCTAGGTTTTGCATGCACATAATGACCATGAATGACACGCACCAACCATCCTACACATATGCGGGCAGTATTGGCGCTCGGCAAAACTCTTATTTCTTGGTTTACGTTTTGCTCTACACACGGTATCCGTTACACTTGATGCAGTAGCAGCTTCCGGAGCATTGACTAACCAACAGGGCGCATGTAGCCGTACACGTGTGCCAACTCTTGTCAATTGTGCAGCTGAACCGTGGGTGCTAAACGACAGGACTTAGTAATAATTTCAGGACTTGTTTCTGTTTAATTGGACAAGCTGCAATAAGATACTCATGATTCAGAACGGGATAGGCAGCTACGTCTTCTTAGAAGTTCAGTGTTTGATCTTGAAAACGCAGTCACACTGTCCGTTAGACCTTGAATAGCCCCCCCCCCCCTCTCTCTCTCTCTTTCTGTTTCTCTCTCTCTCTCTCTCTCTAACACACACACACACACACACACACACACACACACACACACACACACACACACACACACACACACACACACATATCGTGTGTGCATGTGTCGGTTGGTGTACGTGCATGCATTGTGCCTATGCAGTGATCTTCAAGGCCTTCAAACTCATGCTGAACGAGATGGAGATGACTATATCCTGAATGGCAGCAAGGTAAGTATAATGTTCCTGAGTGAACATCAAGTTAGTTCCTGCACTCCATAGATCAACTTCACCCCACAGAGCCTCTGTCTCCAACTGCGTTTCCCTCTTTGCCATGGGAGAGAATAGGAGTCGACCTCTGCCAACATGACGGTCAGGAGTACCTCATTGCTGTCGACTACTTCTCCAGGTACATTCACGCCATCCCGCTACGGAAGACTACCTCTGGAGCCGTCATCAAGGAACTCCACGAGCTGTTCGCCATCCATGGCATCCCTCAAGTCCTTGTGTCGGACAACGGTCCACAGTTCGCAAGTGCTGAATTCGCCGCATTCACAGCCCAAATGCAGCTCACCCCGCATCGCACCAGTAGCCCGCACTACCCACAGAGCAACGGTGAAGCTGAGCGAGCGGTTCGAACCTTCAAGCGTCTCCTGAAGACCAACAACAGCCTCAACGATGCCTTACTCAGTTACAGGTCAACACCCCTCGCATATGGCTACTCGCCAGCCGAGCTCCTGTTTGGTCGTCGTCTACGCACACACCTCCCATGTACAGCGGAATCCCTCGCTCCAAGTTGGCCTGATATTGCCAAGCTAAGGAAGTTTGAGGTGAGGCAGAAAGACAGACAGAGTGAGACGTACGACTCGTCACACCGAGCACAATCTCTGCCACCATTGACCCAAGGAGACCGAGTCTGGGTGCAAGATCTCGCTTCTGAAACCGTGATTGCAGACCGCGTCTCCGGCAGGTCCTATATTGTCACGACCGACAACCTGTCCGAGTACTACCGCAACCGTCGCCACGTCAAGTTGCTATACCTGATGTGCCACCAACACCAACACCAACACCGCAGTTGAATGTCACTACACCTGCAGAGCCTCCATCCGCTGATGTCGAGTTCCAGTCAACCTTGCGCCGATCAGCACGTCCATCCCGGCCGCTGAACAGACTCGACCTGTAAACGCATTAGTCATTACTCATGCTATGATCACTCCAGTCGCTGACACTGATGATCGTGAACTGCATGTAGTATTTGTGTGTCTCTACCCTATCTCCTCTGTATGTGTATGACTAAGTATTCTTCGAGCTGTTACCTCTGGAACCTCTCTCTCTTCGAACATAAACAGGGAGATGTCGTGGCTCCGTTGTTGTACCCGATCCATTCCAGGATCGGTTACCCCTATGCATTCCCGTACTGTGTACATATATGGATCCTGGTTGTGCATCTTTATCTTTCCTTGTTCTATGTAAATAAACTTTAGTTGTAGTCTGGGACTTGTACTTGTGGAGTGAAGTTGATCTATGGAGTGCAGGAACTAACTTGATGTTCACTCAGGAACATTACAGTAAGCTTATGAACCACTTCTAGAAATACATGTACGGGTTTGAATGCTTTCACACCAATCTGATCTTTGATAAGGTCATGTTAAGATATTATCGTATTAGCAGGCAGGGGCGTAGTGCACACTTTGAATGCTCAGTTTAGGATCAAAATGTGCACTTGGTACCGGATTTCGAAGTTGAGCTCCCTAAAACTCTTGCTTGCTTCGTTTGTGTACTTCTAGACATGGATCTCCAATGGTCAGCTTGCTGATGCGGTTGTTGTCGTTGCCAAGACAAAGAAAGAAGGACGTGCAGCCCATGGACTTTCGCTCTTCGTAGTAGAGAGAGGAATGCCTGGATTCGAGCGTGGCAAGAACTTAATCAAAATCGGCCTCAAAGCACAGGTATGCAGCGTGCACTGATGTGTGTGTGTGTGGGGGGGGGGGGCACAAGTGGGCATTGATTACAGATCAGGGCCAGTTTCTGAGTTCATTATTATCGAAGTCAACTATGGTATGGTTATGCGGTATAAGGATCGAAGTCAACTATGGTATGGTCATGGTGCGGTGTAAGGACATGTATGAGTGTACTGTATGTAGAGTCACACATGTCTGTATTTGCAGAAGTGTTTGTACGAAAAAAAGAAGAAAAAAACAATCGCTAAATTCAGGTCGTCACTTTAAAAAAAAATAATTTACGTTGTAATCCTACCCATTCCGATGCATGACTATGGAGGAGTCCGGGTTGTGCTTACTCATGGGTGCACATGCATATGCCTTTTCAACTGCTTTCCTTTACTGTCTTTCCCAGGACACCAGTGAGCTGTTCTTTAATGACGTACGTATACCTGCCTCCAACATGTTGGGAGAGGAGAACAAGGCATTCTACTACATGATGAATGAGCTACCACAGGTAAGGAGATCACTTTACCCGGGAACCTATTCTACATACACACCTCATAGCCCGTGCCTTACCTAGACGCATAATAATATTTCTGTCCGGCTTCTCTTTGCCCTGTTGCCTGTTGTATTTTTATGGCTGGCTGGCTATCGCCCCTTACCACTTTATTGACCTCTATTCCAGGCCTTGAGAAGGCAGGGGCGAGGGAAGGTATTTATCTTTTGAAGGTGATACAGCCAATTATCGGAAGTACTCTGGGGCTGGAGAGAGGGGTGGGAGGGGTTTTGTCCGCGAATATTTTGGAAATTTGGGTCCAAAACCAGTGTATTGTATTGGTTCACGGGGTAGCCAGGGCAAAGCAAATGATAAGGTCCACAGCGCAGTGATTTACCCCGGGCCGCAGGCTTTCATGTGTACTATTTTGAGATTTGCATAAAGGTCTTTTCTTCAGACTTTTCCTGTTTGCGTCTTTCCCTCAAACCAGTAAATAAAGACATACCAAGACATACCGATATTGAGATGCCTTTTTGTTGGCTCTTCTGCCTGGATTTCATTGACAGATGCGTTAAGGCCGATTCATACTTCATTTTTTGCGACGCGAAAGCGCGATGCGAAAGTGCGAAATGTCTTGCGTTGGCGACGGCTGATTTATACTTTTCAGGTCATTTTGCGAGACGCCGCGAGTCGCACTTCACGTGGTCAACTTTTTTGCAACTAAAAAATGTTGTTCTCTTGGCAACGGGAAGTTGTGCCGGGAAACTGCAAAAATCCACTGACATGATGTGGTTCTCGTGTTTCTTTTCATTTTGAGAGAGACGAGCGCAAGAGCAAGAGCAAGATGGATATGGACACAGCGTTGGATGTCGCAGCAGCCTGTTTGCTGCTAGCTGCTGCGTTTCAGCGTCGGAGGACAGCACGGACCAGACGTTGGTGTGTTCGTCCGTATTACCAGCACAGGTTAGAGCGAGGGTCGTACCAGTCAGACATTGTGCAAATGAGAAGTGTAGACGAGAGCCTGCACTTCAAGTATGTGCGTATGTCCCCGGCTGTTAAGCCCATGGATCCTTCCATGAGTGACATGCGAACTGTAACTACTTCAAAGTACAAGTATTATTATTGTACCCTGCACTGTTTGGCGGTGTAATCTAAGATGAGATGGAAAAAATTCTGATTTCTAGTTCATAGTATTCCGGTGGGGACTGGTGTTGCTTGTTGACTCAAGTTGTGAACCCTGCTGCATTATAGGAACGGATGGGTGTGGCTGTTTCAGCTGTGTCATCAGCGGAGGCCATGTTTGAATGGACACGTGAACATCTGAAGGAGAGAAAGGCGTTTGGAGGACCGCTGTCATCAATGCAGGTACATCTCTACTCTCTTTCTCTCTCTCTCCCTCCCTCTCTTTCTCTCTCTCTCTCTCTCTCTCTCTCTCACACTCTCTCTCTCTCTCTCTCACTCTCTCTCTCTCTCTCTCTCTCTCTCTCTCTCTCTCTCTCTCTCTCTCTCTCTCTCTCTCTCTCTCTCTCTCTCTCTCTCTCTCTCTCTCTGTTTAGAGTGGTTTCACACCTATCACATGACCATACAGGGCGACCATGTTGCTTCCAACTTCAGGGCTCACAGTCCAATACAAAAGCGTGGAGTCGCGCACGGCTTTGCGCGATTGTCACGTGATGACAAGTGACCAATCACAGGCCTCTATTCTCCTCCATTCTCAAATCTTTGATCCAGTCCACTACATCGGCCCTGATGTCCACGAAGCTGGTATTCGCTGTGCTGATTCAAAACCCCCAAACTCAGTGATCTACCGCAGCGTTTCACCATTTTCCCTTCAGTTTTCCGGCACGGATTAGCCAAAGTCTGGTCGTTTTGGCTTCGATTTCGGCTCAGCAATCGGAAAAGTGATCGGTAAATGTCTGGAGAATTCCACGCTGAAAAAAATAAGCCCTAGATGATCAAAATCCGCCAAGAATGAGATGTAGTGGACATTTTTGAGTGAGTGCCACTCAGGGCGCAGAACGCCAAAAGTGCAAAAGCAGCACCAAAAATTCAAAAATATATGTCTTGACCAAAACAGCAGCAACAAGAACAACAACAAAATGATTCGCTGTACTCACCTTCCAGCAGGCCAGGGAGTCATTCCTCGGATAAGGCAGGGAAGCTCCTCTCAGCAGCGTTGGCCTGTGCAGATTTCTTTCGGCCAGGATCATGGCGGACGGAGTGGCACTTGCCCTTCTTCTCCAGGGCGATCATTCTCTGCTCGTGGTCTTGTCGAGGCTTGTGGCGCTCCAGGGCGTTCCTGTAGGTCTCAGGTGCTGTCAGAGCTCTACCAGAGTGGTCGCTGGATACTGTTTTCCTCAAAGTCTCTCTGGCTTGCTGAAGACGCTCTGCCGTGATGGTGCTTGAGTATTCCAGCATTTGCTTTCTGACGTGCTTCATGGACGCTTTGGTAACTCGCGTTGTGGTACGAGCACCTGCGGAGAGATTCTTGTAGAGCTGGAGTCGATCTGCTGTGGAGTGAAGCACATTCTCTACAAACAGATGTGTGGCCTGCTTCGACGCTTCGGACTCGTTCGGATGGACGTAGATATCCGCAACATTGAACTGGCGTTCTGCGATGACATTATTCACCGGAATGGCGAAGACATGCTGCTTGTGCCACTGCCAAAGGTGAGGCTCGGAGGTGCTTGTAGGCACAGTACCAGAGCTGCAGTCCGCCAGTGCTCGGATCTCAGTTGCCATTGCATCGGGAATGGGCCAACGCTGCATCCACAACTGCATTTCGGCTGCCTCTCCCGCAACTAGCGCCAACAGCTCAAACTCCTGGAACCACCGTTGGCTTGTGCTGCCAAGAAGATACTGCTGGCGGTCCAAGATTCCCTCCTTGCAGCAGGCCGCAACAAGATGCTCCACGGACTTCAGCTTCAGTGCAGCGTTAACCAGATTACTGTACAGGGATGTGGCATACTGCGGTGTCTGGGATGCCGCTACAGATGGCATTGCACCGTGTGTGAAGGTGTGGATGTTCGAAATTGGATTTCCGAGCACACGTAAGACCGCCCGCCAGAACAGATGCCGTGTTTCTGTGTCTGCTCCAGAAGCGAACAGGAGAGGGAAATGGTGCCACCGACAGCCATGCTTCACGAGCGCATCCTTCACTGCCGTGAACATTGCCTTGTGTGTGCAGGAGAATATTTCCTGGTCACCATCGTTCAGCGCTGCCTTGGAATTCTCCGTCAGTGGCAGTGCAAAGGCTGGGTATTCCAGCATCAGCTGTGCCATGTTGATGTCAGCAGTGACTTGCCTTGGCCACATCCTTGCCAAATACCCGGAGCTGAAGTTCAACTCGGTATCACCGATTTGACACTTCTCCAGTCCGGGCATTATCAGGCGATCCAGCAACTCCAGGAGCATCGTCCGTTGCGCCGCAAGCCGGTCATTGGCTGCCATCTCAACGATGTTGCTCCATATGGAATAGTGAGTTTCACTGACCGGCAACCTCTCCAGCATCTTCTTCCCCAGCTTCACACATGCCGTGCCATACTTCGCCCACCATTTCAGGCTGGCGTGGATGTAGCTCCACCTCGTTTCTACGAATTCTTGCGGCAGTGGAGGTGGCTTCGGCAGGATGTGCTCACTAACGTACAAGGCCTTGTAGTAGGTGGGTTTCTGGTGGTGAATGTAACCGACCTTGTAGTGAAGCTGGAAGAGGTTGAACTCCATCATGGTTCCGCGTTGTCCCAGCCCTTCACTCATGCCATTCCGCAAGGCAATGTTCAGTATGTGGGGATAGCATCCCACGAACACTGTGGTGTTGCCGAACATGCGGCCAAGCTCAACAGCTTGTCCTTTCTTTGCTCCTGATTGGGTTGATGCATTGTCTCCAATGACCGCTGAAATGGTTTGAACTTTGTAAACATCATGCACAATGTGGTGGTCGACCTGTGCCTGGTCTTGGCCACTCCCTGATGCTACGATTGTGTTTGCCAGGACATAAGCAATTGGGCTCTGCAATTTATCGCACCACGTGTGGATGCCAACCATATGGCGCTCCTCACCGCGTTTGTTGCTGTCGTCAGCAAAGACGTGCGTGTCGTAAACATTAGAGGCCAGTTTCTCTTGGAGCAGCGCTTTGTCAACTTCTGCTAGCAAGACATTCCAATCAGCAATTGTCGATGGAGAGACTGAGGTACCCAAGTTTGCCGTTGGCTCTTTTCCTGTTAGCAATACATGTGACAGTGACAATGCTTGTGCCATCTTCTGGTTGCTTAGCAAGCATGCCATTTTCATAAACCGTGCCTGTGCCATGAAGTCTGGCGTGTGTGTGCTCGTAGTAGTACCGTCCATCAAGCTCGACCGTATGCAAATTGGTTTTGTGTCTGGTATTCTCTTCTCTATTTCATGGCGTTCCCTTTTGTGTTTCGTTGCTGCACTTCTGGCACCGCGAAGAGCATTGGCTTGTTTCTTGATTCTTTCCTTCTGCCTTTCTAATTTCTGCTCAGCCGATAAAAGCAGATTCTGCATGGTACTATTTCTTGCTTTAAGCTGCTCTAGTTCGTTCTGCAAATCTGCCGATGACCTCGTGTCGGCCATGTCTGATGGTGGACTGAGTGCATTACTTTGTATGGTGGGTTTTTCTCCACATCCAGCGTCATCACTTACAGTTTGACTTTGTGCTGCCTCCTAGTGAATGTGGGCAAAAAAGGAAACGCACAGTGACAAAATATGTTTGTTCCATTTTATTTACAATCTATTAATTATTTACTTTAGCGACGGTGTTTGGCTGAGATTTTGTTGGTACCTGAGCATCCTCTGAAATGGAGATACTTCCAGCAAGTATATCTGACTGAGGACATGACGCCGACACGACAGGGATGACTTCCTCTTCGCACGGTATCAGAGGACTTAGCTGCTGCGGCACATCGAGAGCCTGAGGCTCCTCACTACATGTACGTGTACTACTGCTAGTGTTAGGTGTTTTGACCTTCTTCGCAGGGGTTCCGAAACGACCAGAGTTTGACGATCTCTTTCGGGATTTCGGATAGTCGAGCTCCAACAATCCATAAGCTGTACGGTTCTTTGATGCCATCGAAAACTCCGAGTCCCAAGGCTCGGACGATGCGAACGCCAGCGCAAGGGGAAAGTGCAAGAGGAAATAGGAAAAGTCGAAAAGACGCCGATCGCGTGAGAACGGGAACTGAGCCGCCGAGGCCGCAGCACGTGCGGTTCACGCGAGCAGTCCACGCTTTTCGTGATTTGGCATGCCGGCTGTGAGCCCTGAACTTCAGTCAACCCTTGCATGTATGGGTCACATGGTGTTTGCCATGTTGGTTCCACTGTCCCCATGCCATGATCACCTTCTGCACAAATTTAATCACACTGTGACAAAGATGTGCAATCACTATTATTTGTCCTTGATGCTGCTTATGGTACCGGTCAGTGTTGCTGCTGCTCGTGGTAGTGCTGCCGCTGCTGGTAGTGCTAATATCATGAAGTACTTTGTTTGATTGTAGTCACAGCTCACTCTCTGGTGTTCTGTTCTGCTTGTGCTTGTTTTCAGTTGCTAAGACATCGCATGGCCAAGCTAAAGACTGACATAGCCGTTGGCCGGGCATTTGTTGACAGCTGCATTGAGCGACATGGGGAGCAATGCCTCGATGCGGCCACAGCATCCATGGCCAAAGCATGGTCAGTATTATTTCGCACCACATGTACAGTTCTGGCCAAAGAAATCCGGCCCATGAGCCGAAAGCAGTGCCAAGGCTCATGTGGCCTCTGTGGCCCTCGGATGGGCTTTTGGACCGTGCATGATGTAATTTATTGAAAGAGACACATGGCACTTTGTTTACTCACGTGTCGTATTTCTTTGGCCACAGCTGTGTGTCATGTACCTGTAGCATGATCACTTGGCATATGTGCAGTGTTCCTAGCCTGGCCACAAGATTCACATCAGATGTGTTGCTAGTGATGTCATAGTGATGTCATAGTGATGTCATACATGATGCAGTTTCCAGTCACGTAAAGCACTTCAAAGTACAAGGCACTAGGTTTCAGAACTACAGCACATGTACAATTGTACGTGAACAGTAAAACCTGTGTTTGCCGGACGCCGTACCAAGCAGATTCCTGTATTGACCGGACAAATCTTCATGCACCAAAGTGCCGTGCATGGAACATTGCCATACTAGGACAGTTGGGCAGGGCGTCCGGTTAAGGCAGGTTTACTGTACTCTATGCCATGCAGTATGCAGCATGGTGTGCTTCGGTAGTCCTTTCTTGGCGGCATGTTCCGGCCAATGATGTGTGGGTTCAATGTACTTCATTCTACAGTCGTGACCAAAGAAATCCAACCCACGTACCGAAAGCAGCACCAAGGCTCATGCGGCCCCTGTGGCCCTCGAATCAGTTTTGGAAACATGCATGTTGTAATTGAAATGGAAATGCGGCGCTACTTTTGACTCGCGGATCGGATTTCTTTGGCCACGACTGTACATGCACATGGAGTACAGGCTGTGAAACCTGTCTGTAAGGTTGCCTTGACGGGTTTTACTGTGTTGACTATTTCATGGTTGTGCACAAGAGCTGCATGTTGTTTAAAAAATAGAAGTGTAAACCACCATTTAAATGTGTTTGTTATGCAGGGCGTCTGAGCTGCAGAACCGCGTGGCTGACGAGTGTGTTCAGCTTCATGGTGGTATGGGGTACATGTACGACTACAAGATTGGCCGTGCTTACGTCGATGCTCGAATTCAACCTATCTATGCTGGCACCAACGAGATCATGATGGATCTGGTGAGCCGCACAATCTTTCCCAAGTCAACTTGAAACGTGTTTCTGGGGACACTGGTGTGGTTCTGTTACGCATTCCGAACCTAAGACTACAAGTCCTAGTGTTGACCAAACAACAACTTGTTTCATCTCTAAAAGCATGCATCTGTTGGCGCAAACCCCACCCAAGGAAGGAAGTCATAGCCGTGCATGGTTAAGAACACTATCACTAGTTTACCCAGTCTGTATAGTCAGCATTGTGCTAGCTGTTCTGCACTACTGAGTATGTGCATCGTGTGGAAGCATAATGTGCATGTGCAGGCATATGTCACAGTGCATGCCGCCAGGCACCACACTGAGGATCACGGTTTAGAAGGATAACGTTAGGATGGCATTGCTGGCTTTCTTTCTTTCATGTCATTACTGTGCGGCGCGTGCCACGGGACTTTGCTGGCACATGGACAACCCATGATACTTACATGTAGTTTACTTAGTTTTCAGGTATACAATGCTGCATGGTGCCAGTATGCTTTGCCTACAAGCTGCAGCTATCGGTGCAATTGTGAAATTGTGCGCATTTGTATTCAGGCAGATATCAGAGCTTCACGCGTGAGAGTGCTGCCTTTTGCTCTGCGATGCCTTTTCGCTGAATAGCCATGGCATGGGTTCTCGTTAGATGCTAGTGGTTTACTAGTATTTTGGTAGACACCAGCTGTAACTTGCTAGCCAATTTTCCCATATATTCGGCACTAATTTGTGTTTCGGCAAAGGCTTTTCTTGCTGTACTTCAGAGGCCGCCTCACTAGGAGACCAGTTGGGTTTTGATCTGCTTTTTCATCCCTGCTTCCTTTTCAAATTCAAACATAAACAAAAGAATGTCATCTGGGCCACATTCAGGGTCCTACTGAATTTTGGAAGTGTTTGATTTGAACAATACTGGCACAAAGCAAGGCATTTCTTTTAGGCATGCTTTTAGGCATGCTGGTCATGGTAAGCCCCAGAAGTGTGAAATCGGAGTATCCAGTTTGTATTATTTTCATTGCAGAATTGTTACGGAACTGTTTATCGCATGGCACCCAGTAAGTGGGTATGATCTGTGCTGGCCGAATTACCGATCCCGGTTCACACACTCCGTCAGGAATAACACCAAGAATACTACAGGCTAGCTGTAGTAGGTGGTTTTCAGAGATCCAAGCCGGCGCTCTACATTTCCCTATTTTTGTTTTTCAATACTAGTAATTCATTCATGTTGTTAGTTTGACAGCATGAAACTATAACAAGGTATACTAGTATTGTACTATTGGGTTACATTCATTGGCTATGCATATGCGACGAAAGTTTTGCGGGGGGGGGGGGGGGAGCTCTGAATACTAGAAAAAGCAGTTCGTTGATGCGTGATGATGATGGATAGCACTACTTGGGCCTATACTATCCTACACTAGTGTGTATCCTACAGGCTACAGTGTAGCTGTCTCAATGTTTGTTTTTGTTTGTTTGGGTTTATTTTTAATTTTAGTCACTGTACTTCGCAGTAATGGCAATGATGTGACATGACAATACACGAGCGGCAGACCACTGGCACTAGTCACTGTCGGTGCATAGCATTAGCAAGCATAGCGCTACTTGGGCCTTATAAATATAAGTTATAGCTTACAGGTTAGTTAGTTACATAGCGTGAGCCCATCACGATGTCGTGACAATACACCGGTGGTTTACTGACAAGTAACAGTTTAGTGTCATATAAACGGGTTATAACAGAAACATAGTTTTCAACTTCTTTTCATAGAATTACTCCTTCCTTGAGAGTTATGCCATACGTCGCCGAAGAAGAATTTGTTATCCTCCAGTCCATTGAACAAGGCTGGTATTACTACTACTAGTACTAGTGTTTCAAGTTTCCCGAATGATGTTCGCTACTCGCTCCTGTGGCCAGTTCAGAGCTGTCGCTTCACAATGCTTCCCCCGAAGCTTGTCCGTATCGGCCGGCAAGCTGGGAAGACCCGAGCCAGCATCGTCACCGAACATGTTGGATATCGGAACCCGGCGTATTTTCAATGAAGAACACGACATGCTAAGGGAGGCGTGCAGAAGGTAGATCCACGGCTCAGATGCGATGCATGATTGATATCTACACAGTTTTGCGGACCAGGGACTAGTCGTGAAAGGCTTTCACTCCTACTTTATAGTATTTTATACTTTTTAATAGGATCCTGACTTGTTACCGCGATAAAAAAAACTAGTCATGATTTGAACTCGGATGTTGAGCCAATGTTATCATGGATAAAGGAAGGACGAAGTGTTACGCGTTATCATGGTTATGACCTACTATCCACCGATGTAACCAGATGAAGCATGACTTTGTACAACATTTAAAAATTAATCCCCGTTGCTATGCAAAAGACGTTACTTCAGTAACGGCTGGCGCTAGCCAGAGTACACACAGCTTTAATTCCGTGTTTGT